CTACCAGTTCTCCAGAACTGGTCAGAACCTGTTGAATACCACCTCTGGAATGGATGTCTCATTTTTTTTTAAGATTTCAGGAATTATACAAAGCTAAACAAACCCATCTTTTCCATAAAACAAATCTCATTTGTTTTATTGTTTATTTCCAATGCAAAAGTTTTATTTTATGAAAAAGCAAGGTAGGCTTTATCATTATTTTTATGCGATATATAAACATAGTGTAAATGTTAAAAATAAGCAGTCATTTTATTACTTATCTAGCCTTAGTCCCAATGAAACCATTAGTTTTATTCACAGAGATATGCCACAATTTCATTTATCAGTTTAAGAGGCTATGACACCACAGAATTTGAGAGCTTCTGGCTTAATGATTTAATGCTGCAACATGTGCAATATGGAGCTTATAGAGCCTGCGCAATTCAATAGTTTTATGATTTAAATGAATTAAGGATGCCTTGGTCTCTGGAAAAACTAATACACTTCTGGTCTTAATCCACTATACTGAAATGACTGCTACACTGGAGGAGTCAAATTCAACTGCAGCAATTAGATATTAGTAATTATAAAATTTGAGTAGATTGTAAATGTATACAAGTTTGACTAAGCTCTTCACTAGTGAAGTTGAATTTTGTGATTACTTTTTCTCCACACTTCCAAAATATGTATAGATGCTAAATATTTTGTAGACCTTATCGTGGGATATTTTCAGCTTTAGTTTTCAATTGGATGAATTCCATCCTGTTGCTATCAATGAAATCATAGCCTGTTGTTAAAAGATAAAGACACTTGGATTCAACTACTTTAGATTTATAGCAGTTTGGCCTCTCTCATCCCCAGTTGTTAAAACTCATCCAGCAATCTAAGAGCCAAATACTCTGCGGAGTATAACTCAGCTAGAATAACTAAAAGTTTCCCTGAAAGAGATAGCATATGTATAAGAGTTCGGACTGCCTTTTCAGTAGTTGCACACAGTGGTAGGATTCTGCCCTAATGACCAGCTGGGTAGGCATGGCTCGATGGTCATGTGACTGGGTGAGCGTGGCCAACTCAACGTCATTCACATCGATGGGCGCTTCGCCTTAGCTGTTACAATGTAATAAGGGTTAACCAGAGAGGCAGTTTCTGTAAGCAGGGCAATAAAGATTAGGCTAGAAACACCAAAACGTTTCCTTCCTGCCTTCCTTACAGGATTAGCCCTGTAAAGTGGGGAAAAAACAAAAGGAGATTTCTTCCTAAAACCGGTTCTCCAAATTGCTTAGAAAATTAACAACCGGTTCTCCCGAATAAGTGTGAACTGGCTGAATCCCACCACTGGTTGCACATCCCACAAGAAATGATGGTCCAAACATATGACACACCAGTCAAATGCTACTGTATTCATTGAAGGACTTAATTCCTTTTGGCCTTAATATAAGCCTGAGAATCTTAGCAAAGTGGTGTGCATGCTAGAAGACATGCCAACTGCCCCAATCACATGTTTGTTCTTACACTTCTGTGCAAATGATATGATCTGTTAAATTCTGGGAACGCTGGGATTACATGATTCCACTCTTCCAATGGAATTAAATGCTGCAAGGTGGATGTAGTTGCTGCTGTTTCATTTCATTTCCATATATCTTCTACCTTTTCGTACTTTTTAATTATTATTTTTCCTGCTGTTCATTTTCTCCCCCACCAACAGTCAGGGTTTTGAGGTTGGGTAAGTAAATACACATCACTCAGTTTTAATAAAGAGTAAAAGAGAAAGAGAAATCTTGTTGCATCTAATTTAACTTTAGGACCACGGAGAGAGGTTGAAAAATGGTGTTCCCTGGACTTTCATTCTTCTAATGTCTTTTCCACCTTCTTACTAAAGAAGTTTAATTAGTTCCATAAAATGGTGGGCAACCACCTGGGCTCTCTCTGAAAATTTCCTGGGATATGTCAGAGGAGGGAGGGAGTGGGGGAGGGGTTTCCCAATGCAGTGCCTTAGGAAAGCAGGCAGAAAATGTCCTGCCAAAAGAATCAAAGTTCTTAAGGCAGCCCAAGGAAGCTTATTTTCTCAATTCGAGAAACATTTGGTTATAAAGATGCTAAAAGTAAGTGATGTGGTAGAAGACAGATTGCTTTTGACCATATCCAGTATTCTTTGCTAGGGTTTTTCTTTTTTTGCCCAAAATTTATATTTGCGTCATATAAATGCAGTGAATGAGAATACAGTATTCTGTAGCCATCTTCCTGCCCCCTTCACGCCCAAAATAGCCTTCATGTGGCAGAATACCCCCTGAAAGTGCATCTGAGTTCAGAGTTGGTGGACATGCAAGTACCTAGAACCGTGATGGTGAACCTATGGCACGCGTGCCAGAGGTGGCACGCAGAGCCTTCTCCGCTGGCACGCGTGCCGTCGCCCCAGGTCAGATCTCCATGGCGTTTCTTTCGTGAGCTTCTGTTTCCCTGCAAACGACGAAACAGAAGCTCACGAAAGAAAAATACCTTCCCTCTTGCTGCGCTGCTGGTGTTGGGATGCCCCACCTCCCACCGGCCAGCTGGTCTTTGGGTCTCTGCTGCGCATGCATGCATACACACATTCACGCATGTCTGGGCATGCACATGTGCACACATCTTTCCATTCAGGCATGCACGCATGTGCCTTGAGTGGCATATAAAATATATAACATAGTTCATGTATATAAATAATAAACTTCTTTTATTTTTTAATATTTTTATTATCTTCTGTGGCCATATTACTAGAAGTCCAGGTATACATGTGGCCTGTGGATCACAGTTGGATAGACCTAGAAGATATATTGCTTAGCTTTGATTGGGTGATAAATGTGAAAAGAAAACATGGTTAACTTTGTTCTGTTCCTTGGCCCTTATTTCAATTTCCCAAATAATATCCCATCTGGCTTCCTCTTGTGGTCAAGCAACTCTTGAAAACTCCACCCAACTGGAACACAACATCCTAATGTTTAGCAAACATATTCTGAACAAGGCAGGACGTTCAGCTAGCCAGTATTTGTACAGTGGGATTCTGGGGAGAACCCAGACTTTCTCTTGCAATTGCCATAGTGGGAGTCAGACTGCAGATTTTCCAGCTCTGGAATGAAGTGAAACGAACAGGGACTCTCTTGTGAGCCTGAAGGCAGGCTGCCCTGCAAAGCTGTCTGGTGCCTGTCACCCTAGCGCTGCTTAATCCTGGCAAGGCTGACTGGGAGGAATATGGCGAGGGCAGAGAGCAGCAAGAATGCCTGGAGGCTCAGCACCAGGATGGAGAAAGCTGGCACCTCACAGGTTAATTACATGAGCGGCCAATTCCCTTATTGACAGGGTAGCTTAGAAAATGCTGAGGCAGGACATACACTGCAGAGTGTCAGAGCCGCTGGAGCTTCTGCTCCCAGATGCCTGCCAGCTTCTCTTTCTCTCTCTCTTTCTCTCTCTCTCTCTCTCTCTCTCTCTCTCTCCCTCCCTCTCTCTCTCTCTGTCTCTCTGTCTCTCTCTCTCTACCTTACTCTCTCATGCACAGATCCCCACAGCACAGCCCCTGCACATACCTCCCCAGCAAGCCTGTCAACTTAACCTGCTTTTCTGTAAGCAGAGGTACCTCTTCTCTGATGGGAGCTAGTCAACCAGCCAGCCCCGTGCTGTCAGCCAGCCCTACTCCAGCTCTGTGACAAGAACAGGTTTGGGCTCTGCTTCTTGGCCTTTTCTTTCTAAGCATCGGGTATTTCATGCTCAAGCCACCTTAATTTACTGATTGTTGCTCCCTTACTTTCCTGGTCCACCTGGAACACTTCCTACCATCCCTCTCTGCAATCCCTGCACGAAGCTGGCACATCAGATCCCCATGGCCGGCTCTGAGGCACACAGCGGCCTGCAGCCTTTGTCAAGAAGGCTGTCCCTGTGAAAAGGGGAAACCCAGTCAACATCCCAGGACAGAGGACCAGGGGTGGGGGAGATAACCAGCGACCTGAGACAGATCACCTCTCCGTGGCTCTGTGGACATCCTGGCTGTCAGCATGATGATGTATTTCTGGGTAGGTCCCTGTTTTGGGTTGGGTAAATCCCGGTTGAATTTTGTGTGTGTGTGCTGTCGGTCGCTTTCAGAGTTTTGCAGACTGTTTGGTGGATGATGTTACCAAGTATCCTACCATAGTAGGAGCTTTTGCTCCGACTTATTCTTCCGGGTGGGTGTGGATCCCTGAATTTAGATTCTGCTTGCCTGTTCTAGATCATGTGAATTTCAGTGAGTTTACTGCTTGATTTATTTGCCTGAGTGAATATCTTAATGATACTTTTGATGTGGTTGCCCAGAAGATATTCCTCCATTTTTCTTTTTTGGAAGAAAGTTAGCATCCTATTTTCTTCGTCTAATTTATTGTCATGGAAGTAAATGGAGAAAAAATCTTCCTGTTTGCTAAATTGTTGGAGAAGCATGAATGATCACTATCGTAGAGTGAGTGACAATGTGACTTGGGGATAGTGAGTTACACAGATTCTCTGAACAATTCTGCCATAAGAACACCCTGTGGTCAATTGCTTTCTGGTACTAGCAAATTGACTGAGAATTGCTAAACTTTGAATTTGCTTGTTTGCAAAGCAGACTGCAGCAAGTCCTGAGTAATTCCCTCTTTAGAGAACAGGTTTTACTGTTTTTAATTATTATTCAAGAAAAGGCATAGGCCTTTCTGTATTCTCTCTCCCATGTTGAATGCATATGTACTTCTGCCATTTTGTGTGAGGAAGGGCTGCCAGTTTGGTCTAGTGGTTAAAGCACCAGGCTAGAAATCATGGGACCATGAATTCAAGTCTTGCCTTAGTCATGAAAGCCAGTTGAGTGACTTTGGGCCAATCACTCTCTCTGTCAGCCCAACCCACCTCACAAGATTGTTGTTGTGGGGAAAATAGGAGGAGGAAGTGTGTTAGATATGTTCACCNTATGTGTATAGAAAAAATCCCCGAGAAAAAGGGTGGAAGAAAAAATTTTTTTTTCAGTCCATCCCCCCCCCCCCCCGTGAATAAAGGAGAAATTACAAACTCCCAAAAGAATATCATTCTATATTGGGGAGAAATACTTGGAAATATGTCTACAGATCTTTTTTTCAACCAACATCCAGCAGCACTGCTAAAGTGACAATGAGAAATATATTTTACATATATATCTTTTCATTTTCCAATTGGAGATGGATTAACCTGAGACTCTTCAAATATTATTGAATATCACTCCCATGATTCTGAACTACTGGCCATACTGCTGGGAACTGGAGTCCAATAATATCCAAAGGGCCATAGATTCTCCATTGATATTTAGAGAACAGCTCCTTAATCATTGTAAACATGACTATATTTTTATGATATGGAAACATCAATGGCTTTGTTTTTCCCCTAATTACTTGTCAGTTTCCTTTTTCAGAAACAGGCTATTGTGCAGTTACAACTGCAATAACAGTGTTTATATGACGATTTTTAAGGTATAAACCCTGTACTGCTAATGGCTACCCACACTGCTTCCGTGTGACTAGGGAAGCAGCAAAGCCATGCACATTTTTACTTCTCTGGCACCCATAAAGAGAATAAAAAAAAAACAGAAAGAAAGAAACAGAAACGAGGACAAATGAATGGTTTCAATAAGTTTCATTCTCTCTAATCCCCGTTTAGATTTGCTTGCTTTAGATATTTCAGATGTAGTGGTGAGATAATTCTGAAAAATGAAAAAAAATAATAATAGAAAGACAGCGTATGGAGAAATCAATAGACAAACTAGCTACGAAATAAATATCATTGGACTGTTCAGTTGCACTGCCCCTGAATGATAGTTCCCAAGTAAAGCTCCTTTTTGGTACATTAATCTACTCTGAACATTGATACGTACATTGTTCACATGTACTCATCAATGTCTACAACAATACTGATACTTTTTAATTTATGGAGCTAAATGCCAATTCACTGCCAGACAATGCAGATAGTGCCACATTTCTTGCTAGGACCCATTGTTGTTCTGAAGGCCAATGGGTAGTAGAACTTTTTAACTCCAGCATGGAAAAATTAATTTGAATTACAGTATTCTGAGGGTGGGTTGCCCTTTACAAATGTTCAGCGATTTCCATAGAGCAAGAGCAGGATCAGAGAGAATAAGCAATGCAAGAGACCAAAGAATTGGCATCTGGAGCACATGCAGCATAAATACTCTGTGTAAAATGGGTGACTGAAAAAAAGCTCAAGGATGTTCTGGTGATTTAGGGTTAAACACAGCTGTTCATACTTAAAATGAACACTTAAGTCCCAATTAATTCCAACAGTCTAGTAATAAACAGGCTAAATTCATCCACAACTCAGTGGTAAAGCACATGCTAGCATGTCAACTATCCAACAATTCAATTCATGGAATCACCAGTTAAAATAGTTAGAGGGCTGGATAAGCTTCTCCCTGAGATCTCAGAGAATCACTCTAAGTGAGAGTCCTGGGCTAGATAGGTCACCGGCTTGACTCAGTATAAACAACTTTCTGAGTCTTGTACTTGACTGGTAAACAGATCCCTTTCTATGTGATGAAACTTGCACAGTTTCTTCCCTTTAAAACCTAAGACTTTCTCCAGCTCTTGGTTATTGCTTCTTAGGAACCTTATACTGAACAACAGAATGAATACCAGCCATTTCTGGACTCTCACTCTGTTCATTGAAAAGAAAAGATATGGAAAGAAACACGCTTGCATTTTCAATGGTCGGTCAGCTTCACTATCACTATTCAATGCTATATTACAGATTATGGTTTGCTTCATTCATGCAAAGTATTACAACAAGTACAATGAAAGCATTCCCAATTTGGAGTATGAGAAGGAGCATAGCAGCAAATATTGGTAGATGGAAAGGGCATAGGAGGGAACTGAAATTTATCTGACAAAATATGTCAGAAATACAGGAAAAAATGCTAGGGCTTCGGGCATGAGTCTATAATCCACAGTCTGGAGCAAACGGAGAATTGATTAAATATGGTTTAGGTGGCTATTTTTCTTTTAAGAGAGTGCTGGTCATAAATAGAGTTCTGAAAAAAAATGGGAAAGGGTTATCTGTGGTTTAATAACATCTGAACAACCAGGCAGTTAAGGAGGGATCAAAACAAAAATAAAAACAAACAAAACAAAACCTCAAGCAAAATTATCCTCCCCATAAACAGCATAGGGTTGGAACCCCCTTGGATTGTGTTGGTCACTCTAGACTCACATGTGTCATTGAGGGTGGTGATTCAGCTTGTTCTTGAGTTAATGAAGAAGGCAACAAAGATATTGGTCAGAAAGTCAAGAACTCCCACTTAAGTCCTTCGCCTAATATGATATAACTTAAAGTTGGTTGTTAGTCTTTCCAAACAACCCCCTTTGACATCCAACTGCTCCTTAGAGAGGGAGGGGAAAGGGAAATACAAAATAACTCCATCATGACCTTGTAGGCTGAGTTGCAAAGATGGCCCTGCATCCACGTCTCCAATGCTGCTCCTCCTGGTGAAGACTCCTGCAGATTTCAAACTCCTACCACAAAGCTACATTCCATCAATAGGTAAGTGAACATGGCAAATGTCTTTTCTTCTCTGTTCAATAATATTAGATCTATATCTATATATCTCTCTTTCTATATATATATGTATATATATATATATATAGATAGATATTATCTTCAATTGTTTCTTTAGAAGCCCTTTATGTGGCAGTAGGCTTCCATAGATGAGAAAAATATGTACAAGAGCCAGAGCAGCACAAAGAGGCTTGAGGTCAAAATCTTGGCAGTCCGTGGCCCGCCTAGCTCACCTCCAATCTCTGGTCTTCGCCGGTAGAGGAGCACACCAACACTGATGAAAGCAAATATAGTGAAGAGGGTGACAGAGAAAGCCAGGTTGCCTGGTTGGACTGCAAATGTCTCCCCTTTGGCTGCATGGTAGATTGCAGCAATGGACCAGGCTACGCCGATTCCCAGGAAAACATTCACAGCGTTGCTACCAGTGACATTACCTATAGAAGCATCTGCATATTGATCTTGTGTTGCTGCTACTTTGCTGGCAAATGTATCTGTAAAGTGAAAAGAAACAGTATTATTGAACCTTGTGCTTCTTCTGTTTAACCAGGATTTTGATGTATCCCTATTGCTCGATTAAGTGCCTCTTTTTGTTCTCACTCATCTCACTTACTCACTCAACCACAGAATAGCATTAATCTTAGTGACCATCACTATTGTGCTTTTTATTCTACTTTAGTTTTTATTTATATCTATAATTTCTAGATATATGTGTTTCAGTGTTTGAAGTACCCTGTTTTTTCTGCCTTGAAGGTAGTATTAAATATCAACTGAAACCACCCAAACCCAGTGGTTTGGACATTAAAGGAATTGAAGTAGCCATAACTAAAAGGGGATCACAACATATATCTGCATTTCAAACCATTTTGCAATCATTGGAGGAGAACGGATACACGGGAGAAGCAGAAGCTGAACCTACAACTTCAGCTTGCATTTTTCTCCTGCCAGGAGCTTCTTTAGAATCTATGTAGCATTATACATCGATCCACTCTGTCTGATGGTTAGAAATTATCTTTTTGCAAATTTCTCTTTTGTCTCTCCTCATCCTTCCTTCTCTGGAACGAAAAGTCTTTCCCCCAGTATGAACTGTTCAATTATCCAGTAACAAACATCATGATTAAAAACAATGTAGTTTTTCTTACAACTATATTTTGAAATTTAAATTGGGATTATGGTTCATAGCTTTGGCTCATAATTACATTAATGATAATGTGATATCATTTCATAATAATATTAAAACAATATGTACTATGTACTATCTATGTACTTGTAATATTAACACAAACTCTAAAAGAAGAAGCTTAGGAGATTGAGATTTAGCCTGGGTTCACACTTATACTTTGTACTTAACTGGTTTTTTGATTTGATGGTCTGATGAGGCGAAGCCCCAATGGGTGCTCAGCACAATGGTAAGCCATTATTGGCAGGATCACACTTCCCTAAGCCAAAGCACATTCTGCCTTAGTAGAAAGTGTGAATCAGCTCAGAAAGTGGCTTGTGAAAAACAGCGGTCTATGGTAGTCAGTTCATGATAATAGTAACTTCTGAATCAAGTCTGAGGGCAGATAATTTGAACAGCTTCATTATACATATAGCCCTCGACTTACTACAGTTCATTTAGTGATCGTTCAAAGTTACAACGGCACTGAAGAAAGTGACTTATGACTGCTTTTTAGACTTATGACTGTTGCAGTATCCTGGGGTCATGTGATCACCTTTTATAACCTTCT